AAGTTTCACTCTTATTTATGTGGGCAACCAAGTTATCAATCAATTATTTGAATCTGAATAATGCCAAGAATAGAATGATTTGGGCTGGCCAAATAGCTCAGCAGATTAAAGCGCCTGCAAGCAGGCACAAGGACCAGGGGTTTAATCCCCAGGCCCACCGTGCCGGCCCCACTCCTGGGGCACACTGAGAAGGCAATTGAGACTGGGCATGGTAGCGCATACCTGTAATCCCAGCTCCTGGGAGACTGTAATCAGGCAGATCACTATGAGTAGGATCTAGTAGTGAGACCCTGAACACCCTGTAGACCCTTCCCAAAAAAAAAAAAAAAAAGAATAGAATGATTTGGCTTCTGAGCCAGGACCCCAAGACAGAATGACCCTGGTGGCTTTATTGCTCCTGTTTACTTTATACACACCATGGCACTTTTTTTTTCTTTTTTCTTTTTTTTTTTGCGGAACCGGGGATTGAACTCAGATCCTTGCATTTGCCAGTCAAGTGCTTATCCTACTGAGCCATCTCCCCAGCCCCAACTATGGCACTATTTATAAGTTATTAAATGGGGTTATAACTGCTTAAGGGACTTTGTGCTGAATTGATGAAAGTATTTATAAATGAAAATAAAGAACAGCTTCTTCAGTTTTGATAAGCAATTCAATTCCTTCATTAAAACCAGAAATATTTAATTTATAAATCTCAGGTCACCTTGATTTTCAAAGTACAAAGACATGTAAACTTATTTCACAATTTTTTTTATCTGATTGATAGTCCTCAATAGAGGGAAAATGTGGTATTTATTTTTTAAGAAGTACTTTAAAAAATCTATAATTTGTTATGTCCAGCTCTTTATTACTAGGAGGAAACATAATGGCTTTTAATGAACACCTTTGTTCCAGGCATTTCATTTCAGAGTGAAGCCCATCCACTGTAATTATCATCAATTTACAAAACAGGCAACTGAAAATTAAAAACACTAGGTTATTTGTTCAGGTCATGGCTGTAGCTATGATCTAAATCTGGATTTCTCTAATTCTAATGTTTTTGCTCCATTTTCCCTTTCTAGGAAAAAACAAAATAGACAGATCAATTAGTGTTCAATTGTGTAGACTAATAAAATCACCACGGCTAAAATAACTTGGAGAAAAATGTTACATTTTACCCAAATATTACTGAAGAAGAATGTATTGAAATATTTCTAAAATTCACTAAACATAACAATAAGTTGAAAAGAAAGTTTTATTAGAAGTATATAGATTTACAATAATAACTCTGAGGAACAAAGTAAAAAGTAGAGCTATGTGTAAAGGAAGGAAGGTTAAAGAAGTGGCTAAATTAAATCTTGCTACACTCTTTTTAGGGACTAGGAGATTCATGAGAGTCACTCCAGAGACTTCCTTTGACTATGTGGACCATTAAAAGCCTGAATAGGCACTCAGTACTGGGGGAAATCTTGGTAGGCTTTCACACTGTGGAAAGCCTCGTCACCTGAAGGAACTGGCTGACAACTTTCAGCGAGATGAAGAGGAAGCTAATCAGGAAAGCTTAGCCCAGCCTCCTGGGTGCGCTTGCGCCAATCAGCTTTCTGCTGTTATGATAAATGCCTGCGATGCTCAGCTTGCAAAGAGAACAGCTTTACTTTGGCTTTCAGTTTGAGAGGTTCAAGTCACTTGGACTTTTTGTTTATGAGCCTTTGGCAAGGCAGCACCAGGCAGAACAAAGTCGCACACCTCGTGGCCAGAAAGCAAAAAAGATAAAGAGAAGACTGAGTTTCTCTGATCCCTCTCAGGTGTGTACCCCAAATGATCAGAAATCCTATCACCAGGTACCACCTCTGAAAGGCATCACCTCCTCTTAATAGTATCATGGGCTGGGGACCGAGCCTGTAACACATGGGCCTTTAAGGGACATTCAAGATCAAACTGCAGCATGTCTATCCCCACAGTGGGAGAATTGACACTATGTCACTTGTCTATCTGATTTAAATCATTCTCTAAAAGTGTTCCATGGAGGTTAGAACACTACTATCCCAGAACAAACCCATGGATGAAGACTTCATCTACTCAGATGAGGGAACTGAATTTCCTTCATGGCATAGAACCAGGCATGGTCCATCTAGCAGAGGCTGTAGAAGCCATCATAGTAGCAGAAAGGAGATGGCCAGCTGCAGAGCCTCACTTAGGGGTAGAATTAATTACTGAACATGTCGGCCCACCAAATTTGAATTCTTTTGATAAAAATGCATCCCACCTGAGACGAGTAAGATTTGTGAGTGGCTCATTGAGCAAGAATCTTTAATGTTCTAGATACCAATTTGTGCTCCAAGGGATATCCATGATACATTCTTCATCCCTCCTCAGCAGCTTTCAAAAAGGATATAACAGTCATGAAAACATGGAAGTAGGAGGAAGAGTCAGAAAGTGAAAATTCTCAAAGACATATTCACTCATTTTCCTCTAGATTCTCTAACTTGATGGCCACTACCTCTATGCTGTCCTCTGCCCTGTATCTCCATGCTGAGTTTCCCTCTTCTCCTTCAGACACTTAATGATTCCAAAGCAATCGCAAATTTACATTTTTATCACCAGATTCTCTCAGCTGAGTTACGCCAGAGCTTGTTTCTGAAATATCTCACTGTAACCTCTGCTCAGACCACCACCACTTTCAGCACTGCTATTTCAGCATCAATCATCACCCTTGTGAAGAACAAAGCATCATTCTTTTTTTAAAATAATTTTATTGACAAACAAATAGCAATGAGACAGTTTCAAAACAAAGTAGTAGGACAGTTTCAACAACTAATACATTGCATATTGTTGTCTTCTTAGTGGTTATTCATAGCACAAGATGCAGACATGATATACTGTCCACAAACACTATTAGAATGAATCTTTCTATTCATTGAATTAAGAGAAAATAGCTGTATATCTCTCCTATTTTGAATATACAGATCCAAAATGGTCCTTCATTTGTATCCCATTTTTTTGTTTAGTTTTCTCAGAGAAGGGTATTCCATTGCCATTTAAATACTGTCAGTGCATGAATTCAGCAAAATAATCCAATATAGTCCAGTAGTCCATAATAATAGTGGGTTATCCGTAGGACTGGCAATGTCAGAAGTTGTTGACTTGAGCCTTTTACAGCTCAGCATATTAATAAGGCTGTACTTTTTATACTTTGTTTTTATACTTTTCTGCTGGATGGTTAAGACCAAGATAAAGCAAGACCTATATAACAAGAAATGTAATTTTTGTTTCTGGCAAGGTTAGTCAAATCCCCTCAGGATTTATCCTGAAACCCTGTACTACAGTTCGTAGATCCTTTGTCAGTGTCAGCCATGTGGATGAGTCATGGCCATTTCTTAGGCAATTTGCTCTCTGTGAAAGCCTGAGAGAATGTTTTCTCTCCATGTGACTTTCCTTAGTCACACTCTACATCATTGATCACTTTCCTCTGTGGCCCATAACCTCCTTGATCAGAAATTCTTAGCACCTTAGCAGGTCGAGATTCTGTGACATTGAAAAGCAAGAGCAACTTCCATTCATTTACAACGCAGTAATCCCACTAACTAGGTCGTGTGCATGTAAAGTCAGTTGTTTAAAATTGCTCCAAAATCTGATTTTCAGTGTGAGATCTTACAAAAGACCTCTAAAGTCCCACTGTGCTTGACCTAGAAAATCAAGGTAAAGTTGCCTGCCATTTGACTCACAGGAAGACAACATGGATGAGAGTTTCTATGCAAAATTCTGCAGAATCAAGCTGAAAAGCCAGTGCCATTCCTGTATCAGGCTATCCTGCTTCATTAATACTACTTGCAAAAAGAAACGGTTAACTAACTGCATACAACCACATGGGCCAAGTTGTAACCTACAGGCATTTCTACTTTGTACATGCACAGATAAACACACTGTTCCAGGCAGGATGCTAAGCCATGGTTTTAACCGATTTTGTTCTGTCTTGTAGAGCTGGTGTCAATGAGAGTCTTAACTCTCAGCCATCATCTGACAGCTTACAACTACTCTGTTCTGCTTTTGTTTGAGCTGAAGCTTGGGATTATGTTGCTTCCAGGCCCAGTTCCAGGTTTCTTGTTTTGGTTTTAAACTTTCTTACAATGAATGAATCACTGAGCCGGATATTACCTAAGGAACAAAATTCAGAGCAAGTTTCCAGTTGCATGTAGCCAATTACTATTTTCATTAACTATTTAACTCCCTAATCATAGAAATGCTTGCTTAATAGTGGATACCAGTTTTTCATATGTCAAGCTCCCAATTTCTTTACATAGTAGTAGCCAGAGTTAACAATAAGGCAAGAGTATAATATTATATTAATGTAATTAAT